TCAGCTATTTAACACCCCTAAACACACTTGCTGTTATATCCGTTAGAGCTCTTTTTCTTTATTTTTTTCCCTCTCTTTTTTACAACAAAATTCACACACTTTGGATTTCGTTACTCCTTAGTGCTTATTACTTTTTGGGGGGGGGAAGAATACAGTCAAATATGGCAAAACAAAGCTGTCAGTCAATACCAAGGATAGACATAGCACATGGTGTAGAACAGAGTACAAGTTTATCAACAATGGTTATCAACGTTGTCCCTTGTTTCCTTAAAAAGAATTGTCTATCTCATTAGATATTATAAAGTTGGACAAAACAGTAGAGAACAAGACCAATAAAACTTACGCATTGTAAACATTACAGGACTTCCAAAGAAGACAATAGTCAAACCAGAATGGGTATATTAGTGAATCTTATTGTCTTCAAAGTAGTTGCCTATGTCTTCAAACTTGATACTATCATATAGAATGGAACAGAGTCTAATCAGTCAAAACAAGATCGTGGGAGTACTACAGGACTTCAAAACAAGTTAATAGGAAATCAAAAAGAGTTACTATTTATATATCCTAATTTTTTGAATTTTTTCTTTAATTAAGACAAACATCAGAAATGACTAAATAATTTTTTTGAAACAATAAGGGGGAGATTGAGATAAAACAGGACATAACAATATAACAATAGAGGTCACAGCATGACTGTTTCAACAACCTAGTACTTCACCACCATATAACCTGACTTAATAGTAGTTACCATAGTGTCTTTTTCCTTGAAATATTTGGATAAAACTTCATATACTCTAGCTTCAAATATTTTCATATCAAGAAGCCCAGAATAAAGCCTTTCTAATTAATGAGTGAAAACTTTATAAGGCTTCAAGGCCACCTAATGGGGAATCATGATTACCACATATTTTTATATATTTGAATCATTATTTACATTAGGGAAACTATTCGGTATTCACACATGCGAGATTGATTTATTTCACTAATGAGTATGGTCTCAAGCTGCGCCCATTTATTGATAAATATCTCAATGTGATCCTTCTTTATAGCTGAATAGTACTCCATTGTATAGAAATACCACAACTTTTTTATCCATTCCTCAGTTGATGGGCACTTGGGTTGTTTCCAAGATCTGGCGATTACAAATTGTGCTGCTATAAACATAGGTGCACATATATCACTGTGGTATGATGCTTTCAGTTCTTCTGGGAATATGCCTAGAAGTGGAATAGCTGGAATAAATGGGATTTCCAGTCCCAACTTTTTGAGAAATCTCCAGACAGATCTCCACAAAGGCTGTACCAGTCTACACTCCCACCAGCAGTGCAGGAGAGTTCCTTTTTCCCCACAGCCTCTCCAGCATTTGTTGTCGGTTTTCTTGATCCTGGCCATTCTTTCAGGAGTGAGATGGTATCTCAGTGTGGTTTTAATTTGCATTTCTCTAATGACCAATGATGATGAGCATTTTTTCATGTATTTATTTGCCATTTGCATTTCTTCATCTGAGAATTGCATATTCATCTCAGATGCCCATTTTTGGATTGGATCTTTGAATTTCGGAGGTCTGAGTTTTTTAATTCTTTATATGTTTTACTGTCTTCACTTTCATTGAGCCAGTTTTTACAGCTTTCAATACAATTTTTTATTTCCTACATAACTCTGCGCATCTGTTTTATGTATTCTGTTTCTTATATTGCTCACCCAGGGATTCTTTTTGTTTATTTCCTCCAATTTTTTATCTGTCTTCTTTAGATATGTTCAGCATCTCCTTCATTTCTTTTACCATTTCTTCTTTTACCTGGGAGATTATTTCTAGTTTGAATTCCTTTAAAGGTTTCTGAAGTTGTTTCGTTATTTCAGTTGCTATTATGTCTGATATTTCAGGTGTATGGCATATATTTTCTTTTATGTACATCGCTCGTAAGGATTCTTTGGATGGGCTGGGAGTTTGAGAAGGTAATTTGGTCTTTGGTTTTGTCATTTCCTGTATTACTATTTTTCAAGTGTTATTCCAAGGCTTCCCCAAGGTATGTTGGAGATCCTCTTCTATGCCCTCAGCTCCTGGGACTCTGGCCACCCAGCTCTCTGGAATGAGAGAGGGTCACTGGCTGTGGAGCAGGCTGGCCCAAGCCCAGCCCCTGGAACTGATGGCACCTGCTCACCCAGAACTCCAAAGTCCTCCAAGCACAGCTGGGAGCGATGAGGCCACTGCAGGCCCAGCCAGGACCCGTTGGGCTTGTCCGGTACACCTGGAAGCCGCAGAGTTACCCATCCGGGACTGAGCAAGGGTCCCAAACTAGCTAGACTCCTGGGGATGCCACTGAGAGCAATTACACCAGGCTGCCCAGCCCTTGGTACCAATGGCTCCCACTTGTCTGCTCAGCACTCCAGAGCACTGCTGGGTGTGGGCAAGCCGCAGCATGCCGCTCAGGACCCAGTGTGCTGGTCCAGGCACCAGGAAGCCACAAGTTCCCTCTTCAGTGCTGAGTGAGGCGGGTTCCCAAACTAGTTGGACTCAGGGGACAGTGCGCGGGGCACTTACACTAGGTACCGAGCCTCTGGAACCGATGGCATCCACTTGCTTGCTTAGAACTCCAGAGTCCGCCAAGCACCACTGGGAGCAGGGAGGCCACTGCAGGCCTGCCCAGCGAAAGTCCCACTTTTTCCAACTATTCCACTTCTAGGTATATTCCCTGAAGAACTGAAAACATCATACCACAGTGATATTATGTGCACCCATGTTTATAGCAGCACAATTTGTAAGAGCCAGATCTTGGAAACAACTTAAATGTCCATCAATTGAGGAACGGATTAAAAATCTTGTAGTGTTTTTATACAATGAAGTATTGCTCAGCTATAAAAATTATCACATTGAGATATTTATAAGTAAAAGGACCAATTTGAGACCATACTTATAAGCAAAATACATCAAACTCATATGTATAAATACTATATATAGTCTCCCTAGTGTGAGAAATGCTGAGTATATACGAGTTTATGGTAATCATGATTCTCCATTATATGCTTTGAAGCGTTATAATGTTTGCATTCATTAGTTGGAATGGTTTTATCCTCATGTGTTTGATTTTATTACCTGTGATGGTATGAACAGCTATTTTGAAGAAGACATTGTAATAGCTAGTGCTGACTTAATATCATCTTGCTCTGAAGTCCTACCATGCTTTTGTTCTTCTTTTTCCATTGGTTCTATCATGTTGTATCTTATTGGATTTTATTGTGTGTGATAATATAAACAAATTCTATGGAAAATCAGATAATATAGTAGCCATTGTTCATTTTCTGCTATTTGGTTGTAAATGCCCTGTAATACTTGCCTTCTCTTGAATGGTGTTATACTACTTTGTTATGTTTGATTCTATTGTACATGAAGTTACACTAAACTGTTTCAAAGAAAGAGACATTATGGTAGTTACTGTTAATTACAGGTTGTCTTGGGGTAAAATGTTGCGTTGCTTACATTGTTCTCTTCTGATCAGCCTTCTTATGTCCTCTTATGTCTTAATCTCTTTAAAATACATTTTTTTAAAAAATAAAAAGAACAAAAAATTAGGTAATAGGAAGTAGGAGATGGATCTCTGTGACACTGAAAGGGGTCCAGAGACCGTGGGGGAGTGGGAAAGGGAAGAAAAAAGAATTAAGACGTGTTATGTTCCTATACAATTCCACACAAGGAATTAAAGATGATACACTACAAGCATGCACTAATAAAAATTTAAAATGAAACCATGTATTCTACTAACACCTTACATATTGTGACTCTGCTTTGGCTATAGTTTTTCCTTTTTCCAAGTCCATACTTGAGATAATGGTTTCTGCTTTGAAGTGTAATTAACAGAATAAATATGAACTACCTCGTAGGGAACAAATCTCTGGCAATTATATACTCACATGCATACTGCAGATTCCATTCACAAATGTCTGGAATCGTCCCATCCATCAAATGACAAAATATTTCCATCACCTTGTAACAATCTCTGTCCCCACGAAATAGTTATTCATGTAGGCATTTATTTAAGTCCCCAGCATCAGATTATGTAGTCATCTGTCTCATTCTGTTTATGTGGATGTACCTCTTTGATGGCTTCAAGAAATGAAATAACACGTGACCTATTATTCTCATTTCACTCACTTGTTATGTTTGAAGATCACCCACAGGACAGTAGACACCTTTCATTACTTCATATGCCTGAGCAGTATTCCTCCCAGAATACCATACTGTCTCCACTCATCCTAGAATAGGAAACCAATTTGTTGTCACCTCTGAGGAGCTCTAAGGAACCCATTATAAATATTTTTCAGGAATTTATAGAATGCATCTGTTTATCTCTCTTGAATATGCATCAGGAAAAGAATACTGCACTCAATATTAGGCTGGTGAAGTTTCTACCATATGCCAGAATGGTATTAGCACTCAATGGGAAGAGGAATGTGTGTGTGTGAGAGTGTGGGTGTGTGTGATGTTTCATAGAGCGGTGCTTACAGGTTTTTCTCAACACTAGGGCATGTGTGCCATTTAATCAGTTGACTTTTTGAAAGTGTCAAAAAACGTAATCCTGGTTACAGAATTTATGTTTCTCAGATAATTCAAAACATCTTTAGTTTCCACCTTTATAAACAAGTTGAGGGTTGTCTTTCTGGAAGTTTGCTGTTATGCCTCCATCTGCACTCACTCTGGAGCCCACAGTGCCCAAAACTTGGTGAGAGGGACCTGGCTTTGAGGTGCAGCTTCTCCTTAAACCTTTACCACACCAACCTCCCCCAGGCAGACAGCAGCTTCAGATGGCCTGCTGCCCTGCTGCCCTGTGTTCAGCTTCTGATCTCTTCCCACATTGACCGCATCGGTTTACATTCCAATCAGCACTGTATGAAGGCTACAATTTCTTCACATCCTCTCTGGTACTAGGCTTACTTCACATTTTCATTACTCAGGACTCCCTAGTGTGCATGAACTGTGACCTAATTGTGGTTTTCTCCCTGCACCTATTTGATTACTAGTAGTGTTTTGAAGCTTCCTGTGCACATTTAGCCTCATGAAAATACCTTTAGAACTACCCAATTTCTCTACCTATGTCAATGTCTTGTTTGTCCTTTCATTGTCATTTATGTATTTTGGATATGAGCGCTTTCTGCAACATGACTTGCACAAGTTTTCTTCCATTATTGGAATTCATTTTATTTGTATACACTTGCAGTACATAATGATTACACTCACGGTGGGCAGTTGACACAGGCATGGGACACATCTTTTTTCATCCCTCACCCCGCCACCCAACCTTGCTACTTCCAGCTCCCGGTCCCCTTCCCATCTTCCCACTTGTTGTAGGACATATTTGCACTATGATGATACTGTCCTTTGATACATAAAAGCTTTTAATACAGTTAATATTCTTATTCCTTTGTTTTTCATGCTTTCCATTTCACAACTAAAACTTGTTATACCTAATGTCAAAGAAATTTACAATTTGAGAATGGAAATGGCAACGAATGAGAACTGGCAACATGGAAAATGGTGGGGCAGTTTCTCTAAATACAGAAAAATATTGTCATCCTTTACCGGCAACCCTACATTTGGGAATACATCCAAAGGAAATGAAATAAGTACATTCAAGAGCATCTGAGACATACATGGGATGGCCTTGGATTTTTTTCCAGGGGGCTGTCCCTTGTGAGTGAGGAACTCCTGGGGTCCCATCCATAAACAGAGTCAGGGGAAGAGATGCCTTGGAGTGCAGGTGTCAGGAAGCTTGATTCACAAAGAAGAGGCAGAGCAGGCAGACAGCTGCAGGGCAGAACACAGTGTGCAGGGTCTCTAGAGGCTGATACCCACAGGCACAGTTCTCCTCAGGGTTTGCTGCTAGATCTTTGTGTGAGCCCCAGGTGAAGGCAGTGGCCTGTCCATGGCTCCACTCCCATTGCACTGGACAGATGCATGTTGAGGAAGAAATGATGCTGCCCCCACTGCTCCATCCAAGCACCGAGTACCCACCATCACAGCAGCAGAATCACAGCTTCACTGGAGAAGCCTTCAGTGGGGAAAGCCCACCTGCTCTTTCTCAGTAGTGTGCACGGTGAGGAAACGGGAATGAACGGCTCACTTTGCCTTCTTCATCAACTTTCCTTTCCTTGCAACTCAGAGTTTCTGTGTGACAAATCATTCCTTGCATGTGTATCTGAAAGGTGCAGAGACCATGGATCTGACTGACCTTCAGCAGTGGTCATCCACCTGGAGCCTGGAGTCACCGCAATTTCTCTGTGCATGTGGGAACTGAAAAGCTAGAGGTTGGATTACACACAAGGCCTGTTTATTGCTGGAATCTTTTTACTGTTGACTAGATCTACATTGTTGTGGACAATACTGCAACATTAACTGCATTCCACATAAAATCAGTCACAAGGATCTATTGGAAGGTTCCCGTAGGCGGTGTAGATAGTTGAGTACCTTTAAAATACCCAACACTGCAATATACATTTAGAGAACGTTACAAAGCTTATGTGATTTTGCAACTTAAAAGATTTTTTACCAACTATCTGGTACTCAGATCTGTTATTAGTCCTAGAAGCCAAAGATGAGCACACGCATTCCCCTCCTTTATGCAACTGCTCACTATGGCCTATGGGAGAAGCGTTGCTCTTTGAGTGCAACAGGGTGCAAACTGCAATACACAGGGGTCTGACAATTCACTACCATAAACACTTCCATCTGTCAATTACTTGACATACATGAATCAGCAGCTTTGGACTTAAAATACACGCACGTATCTGGTAATAACAATAGTTTAGCACTCCTTACTATTTATTGCCTCTTACTGTTTTGGGAAGCACTAACAGAAGACCAATCTAAGCCAGCCTGTAACAAATTTCTCCTGGCAAATCTGATCTGTTCTGTTTGCTGTTAGAATCCATAGTTACTGCTTTACTGGTAAAAGTTCGTGTTGTTTCTGGAATCCATGCAGAGCAATTGTAACTTGTATAGGCTTGGTCACAGGACTCCGGGACTCTGTTATCTGTGCTGAGATGCCCATTGCAGTTAATGCTCACCACCACAGGTCCTCAAAGAAACCATGTGTCCGGGAAGCACCAGGCTCATGTTTGATCCTTTTCTCACTGTGAGGGATGTTTCAGTTAGTGCAGATGTTTCTGAACAAGAGGGCATGTTGAGCAGACAGCCAGGGAATGTCACAGGAAAGTATCACTCCTGAGGAACAAGACCAAAAGGAACATAAAGCCTGTTATCATGGTCATCATGAGTGCGATTCTCATTGACTTTTCCCTGCCATCTCCACGCAGGGGTCACTAACCGAGGGCTTGGACACACTGTGACTCCTCAGATTACATCTGCTATGTCTCAGGCATCTGATGACACACTTAAGACACTTCAAAAGAGAAAAAACAGCCTTCAGATAAATCAATGGACGCCTGGACAGTGTGCTACTTCAGGTTATTTCACTACCTCAATCCCATGGCTCAGAACATTGTCTTGGCTCAACCTCTTGTGATGCAAAACTTCCAAACATGGATAGGAAGAAAGCCAGGTCCAACTACAGGATCGATAATGAGTGCAGCACAGTAGAAATAACACTGCAAATTTCCTAGTCTTAGACTTGATTTCTTAACATTAGAAGTGTTATGTATTCAAATGGAACAAAATGATTCCAAATAAAATGGTTCTGCCACTACCTTGCTTTATCAAGAGGGTGGGTGTAAAGAAAAATATGTTCCCTGCCCCTGCTTCCTGTATAGAATTCTCTGAATGCAAAGTCTAAATCAGAAATATGACATAGCTAGACTTAATCAAAATTATGTCCCATATAACCTGATCATTATTTCCCTATTTCTCAACTGGATATCTTTCAATAAATAATAACATTATTATTTTAAAAAGTATATCTGAGCATGCAAGCTAATAGCAGTCATAATCACGAGAGCCAAGCTTTAAAATCTATCAAAATTCCACATTCACTCAACAGAGGAATACAAGAAAACAGTGTGCTTTATAAATACATAATGAAGTCTTGCTCAGTGACTTTTTAAACATGATATGGAATCTCACCTTTTGCAATAATGTGCATTCAACTGGAAGAAACTAAGCAAAGTAAGTTAAAGAAAGACAAAAACCACAGGATCTCACCAAAAAAAGGAAAAGCACAGTAACTATAGAGAAGTCCCAAGAATAACAGTGGTTATCTTACCTGAGAAGGAAAGAGAGGAAGGCAGGACCAGGCAGGAATGACCAAAAAGCACAAGGTTACAAGTAGACAGGAGAAATGTGCACTAGGGCTCTACCGCCACATCAGGATAAACAGAGCTATTATGAATGGAGCACCTTACACTCCAGAGCAGCTAGCAGAGAGCTTATCATAAAGTTAAGCATAAAGAAAATATTGGTGCACTGGGTGATCAATACACTGACCACCTGTTCTGTTCATTACACAAGGTGAACAAACATCAGTTCATCACGTGGTGCCCATAAAGATATGCCATTAGGCATCAATAAAAATTTAAAAACAATGTTTTATTTGCCTCTGAGTTTTATATTTTTAGTGTTTTTATTAACATGAGTGGCACCTACCAATTGGACTCAGTGTGATATTTCAACACATGCATGCAGCATGCACTGATCAGATCCAGCCCCCTTTATCCACCCTCCCTTTCCATCCTTTACAGCTTCTAGGAATCAGTCCTGTACATTAAGCTCAGACCACAATGTTAAGTGAAGAAAACCAGACACACAGGTTTAAATACCCCTTCTCTTATCTAGGAAACTCAATACATAAATAAAATACAAAATAAAATAGAAAAAAGAGAGAAAAAGTATTGGGATCAGCAATAACAATATCCAAGTGTGTACCATCATTTAGTATAGTGGCTTTATATGTGCTTGTGCTTATTAGTCTGACTCTTAATCTGTATTTATAATTAACTTGATATCTGTACTAATGACAATTAATACGTATTTATGATATTTCACTTCATGCTTATCTTGATAAATGAAATGATGCTGAAAAAATTTTTAAAGAGGGCTAGAAGAAAAGAGGATAGAAATTGAGATGTGTTAAGTACATATACCAATTCCCCACAACGATCGTAATCACTGTATACTGCAAGCTTGTACCAATAAAAATACAGACTTTAAAAAGTGACTTGGCCCCATGAAATTATTTTTCACTCATGATGAAACTGAAGAGTTGTAAGTGTATTAACACCCATGATTATCACTCTTAGAGAAAATGGTGCGAGATGAGAAAGACAAAGGACTTAGAATGATTTGTTTTGTTGGACTTGAATTCAAGTATCAAGTCATAGTTTTTAATACAAATTTTAAAGCATGCAAATTATGCCAACCATATGTACATACATAAACATTTAAATATGTAGCTACATACCAGTATCTCTCCATGTTTATAATATGTGTGTGCACATTTTCACATGGTACTATGTATACATATGCCTATACATGAAGTATACACACATATATCAAACTTGTATCTTGCCAGAAGAAGTACCAGCTTCAGCAACATCCTAAAACATTCTACAAAATATCTGGTCTTCCTGGTTCAAAAATGGTAATTACATGAGAGAAAAAACCTGAAAAACTTCCAGATCAGTACTGAAGGGATTCAACAACTAAATCCAAGACATGATCCTGGACCAGAACATGGCACATGAAAAACGAAGCTATAGAAGAGGTCTTTGTGAAAATCAATTAATTGTGAATGTGGGCTTTGTGTGAGATAATAGCACTGCAAAACACTCTGGTAATTACTGCAAGAAAATGACCCTTTTTATTATGAAAGCCATGTGTAAGGGAGATTGTGAACATAATGCCCATGGTATAGGTATGTATAAAGTGTGAGTATAAAGTAAATGGGGAAAATGTGAATACTGGGCAAGCTTGATTCACATATAGACTGGAGTTCTATCCAGGATTCTTCTGTAAAATTCTCACACAATTCTTCCTTGCATACAAAAATCTTATCAAAAAATTCAAAGAGGAAATAAATAAGCCAGGCTTGATGGTGAATGGCCATAACCCAGGAAGGTGAAGCAGGAGGACCAGGAGCTTCAGATGAGCCTGGCTACATAGTGAATTCCAGGATAGTCTCCACTCCACAGTAAGAGCCTTGTCTCAAAACCCCCCAAAACAAAACCACCATAAAAAAGCAGGGGTAAGGAGAAGAGAAAAATTAAAAGTAAATATACATAAACTGCCTAGTAATAAACCTAAATGAAATGCAGCGCATTTCATGAGAATCACATGTCAAAAGGCTTTCTTTAGAAAGAACTGAGTCAGTTAGTGGCTGTAACACATTCAAAATTGGGAAGAACTGAAAAAGATGCCAGTTTTCCCTGTTCAGAATCTAAAAGTCATTTCAGATGCAATCAGCAACTCCTTTCCTGGACCTCCATTTCCGGGGCATCCATGCTTGTGAAGTTTCCCACACCACGGATCCCAGACAGGAGCTGGGCAGTGAAAATGAGCAAAGCACTCACCCGTGCAGCTGCTGTGGCTTCCAAGCTCCCAAATCCAAGGACACGACACCCTCCCTGCAGCCATCCTGAGTGCCCACAATCAGAGCAGATGCTGTGTACTGAAGGAGGACAGGCTATGGCTGGCGATGTGTGTGACAAGGACACAGGTGACAAGGAGAGGAGAGGCCCAGTGTGATAAAGAAGCGGGGAGCAGCAGCCAAGGGGAAGATGGCTTGAGACTGTTCTCAGGCCCTTTCCTCTTTCCCCCTTGTGCTCACAAGTGCCTTGAATGTCAGGAATTCTAGTTCGTGTGCATCCGTCCTCAGCCTCCCAAGTGAAATGCAAGTTACATCAGGGCAGGGAAATTTGTTTCATTCAGTTAATACCCACAGCACCTAAAGCAGTGATTACGGAGGTGTCCAGCAGGATTTACTAAATGAATGACTCTAACATTCTCACACACACACACACAAAATCTCTCTCTGCACCTGGAGAGACACAGGGGAAAATGATAGTTTATACCTGAGCACACCGACTGAGAAACAGGAGTAGGAATGAGGCTATTTTACTGACTTGTAAAATTGAACCTTTCCTATATATTTATGTATAGTCTAGGGCAGCTCCTCCAAAACAAAGAATCTTAGTGTAAGAGGTAATTAGATGCTTACCTACTGGCTCCAGGAAAAAAGTTGGTGAGATGTCTTATGATCCATTTCTGAAAGCAATTAAAAGGATTAAAAATTCATACATAGAAAAGCCCTGAAAGCCTCTGACTTGCTCCACAGGGTGTGTGAATGAGGACAGGGGCAGAAGTAAAGTTTAGGATTTGTTCCCATCCCGCTATCTGATAAATCTAGTGCAGTCTGGCCTACTCTGAGAGTCTCACCGCCAAGCCTCTGAACCCAACCCCATCCCAGGCCCATCACGCTGTCCACATTTACTACACGTTAACCCAGTAACCCTGGTATCTGGACCACAGCTGACCCCGCCCCCGGACCCCAGAACTAGTCCTGCAAATATCTCAGTTCCCGCCCTCTCATCCATGCTCAGTCAACACCCCAAAACCCGATTGCTGGCCCTGGGCCTCTCCCCCAACTCCATGTCTACCCAGTGGGGGGCCCGTCTTGAATCCACTAAGCCAACTGAAACTTCTGGCCCCTGAGAACAGCTGCGCGGCCGTTGACCCGCCTCCGTCCCCACGCGCGACACCTCCCCTCTCCCTAACTGCCACAGACAGAGCGAGACCGCAAGCTGAGACATAAACGCTTCTGCGCAGAACCGGAAGAGGAAGGCCTGTCATGGGGGAGCAAGCAACATGCCACTCAGCTGTTTGCATTGTCCCCGTGAAAGGGTCCCGGGGCCTGAGTCTGGAGTCCTAAATAAACTGTAGGAACTGTTTAGCATTCAGTACCGGATCTCATCATGACAAGGTTGCAGAGTCTGATGAGAGCATAATATCTGTCTCCAGCCAAATGAGCTGGCAGATGGCCAGATGGAAATCGAAATCGGAAAATCCAGTCAAGGCTGAGCACTTCGTTCACCTTAACTCAGTAATTTTTCTTTTTAAAGTAGTAACTGAGGCCAACAGTAGTGACCTAGATCTGTAATGCCAGCTTGTAGGTGACAAGAGAATCACAAGTTGAAATCCAGCCAGGGCATCTTGGTCACACCCTGTCTCAAATTTAAAGACGAGAAGATCTCAGATTGAAGGCTGGCATCATGGAGTCCTGGGAGCCCTGCCCATACAGAGGCACAGGGATGGGATCCTGGATATAGTGAGAGTGAATATTGGGAACCCAAGATCCTTGCTCTGGTGGGCAGCTTTTGCAGTTTGGGACTTGGAGGTTTGGGGTTTGTCCTGAGTGTCACCTGTGTGGGAGAATGACACTTAATACTTCTGTAAATCTGGTAAAAACGATTCCCTGACAACCTCACTTTCCTCATCTGTGAATTAGGCATAGTCATCCAGAGCCTTAAGCCCTGTATTCTGGCTGGGATGAGATGGACCCTGGTTTCTCATGGAAGCTGTAAGTGTCTGCATGAGGAGGACGTGTGTGCTGTGAGTGTGCATGGTATGTGCATGTGTTATGTACTAGTTGGGCTTTGTACAGACTGGGGGGAGAAGGCTCCAGCCTGTCACAATGTGGGATAACCTGGATTCTTGTGACTTATTTCATCCTCCCCATCTCAGTCCTCCCTGTACCCAGCCTCTGATGAGAAAGCATGCACCAGGAAGGAGACTCATCAGTGAGCTCCTGACATGCTGGTTGCAGGTGAGTCTGAGCTCTTCCAAATCATCATTCATTTACTAAATGTTTCTGCTGTCTTTGCATTGTCTCTGGACTGTGCTCAACTCTGCTGCTTGAAGGAGGTTGGACTCCTGGAGCCTCCAATATGACCAGGAGAGATGCCCTGCATAGCATCACACTGGACCTTCGAAGCAACACAAGTAGACAGGAGGTGAGCACTGAAGTCTGCGCCCTAAGGCTGAAGTGCTAAGCCCTTCCACACATCCTGTCCTCTGTACTTTCTTCCCTGGGTCTGTCAGCCTGTGCCCCCTCCCTGTCTATAATGAGGGGTACTGGATGGAGCCATGAGGTTTTCAATGGTTTAGGACCTAGGGACCTTTCAGCTTGCAGACATGGACTTCTACCAGGAGGAGTGGGCATTGCTCCTCCTCCAGGGATCCCCAGCATTATTGTACAGGGAGGTGATGCTGGAAAACCAAAGGAATCTGGCCTCGCTCAGTAAGCCCAGCACCATCCTGCCTTTTCTTAAATGCACCTCAGGAGGACTTTCATTCATACATTTTTGCTTAGTGTCCATTTCACTCACTCACACATTCCTTCAACAGGCACTCACAAGTTAAACATTCTAACCCTTTCCCTCAGGAGAATTGATTAGACTCCCTTCTGCTCAGGCTGAGCAGGATTTACAGAATAATGTGCCCAGGGATCTCACTGGAATACGCAGACAGACAGAGACTGCATCCTCCTCCCCTCGGGGTGCTATGTGAGCTGCTCAAACATGAAGCCAGGGATCCTCCTCCAGTCCTCTGAAAGGACTCAAAAAATCTTGAAATGCACCTTCCTGTCAAGACCTGGGGAGGACCTCGCTCCATCCAAGAGTGCCATGACAAGTGACCAAACAGGTTCAGCATGCTTGATCTTCCCAGCTGATGCCCCAGAGGCTACAGCAATCAAAAACACCAGAACAACAACCAGAATTTGAAGACAGATTTATTTAAGTCAGCAGGCACTGATGGGAATCATTCCCAAAATATCTGGTGGTCTAGGGCTTTTTTGGGATAAGCAAGAAGGAAGTACAGAGGCAGAGTGGGTTGTTAACTGGAGACTGCTTCTCACAATATGCATCATAGTGACCAGCTATGCTTCGCAGTGACCAGCTGTAACCAGAAGTATTACACAGGCAACTAACAATTGGTAACAGATCTTCTGTTACAAGAGGTGAAGGGTCTGAAAACTTACCATTTTACACAGAACAGGAGAGGAAAGGTACTCATATAAAAGGCATTTGGACAGATACTAATAAATTGGATGGCAACAGCTATCTTGCTCCGAGGAAACCAGTTTGGCTGGAGTAGAACAGGGGAGTGGTGATGAGGGAAGGGTGGAGATGATGTCATTGCAGATGTGACTGTGTGCCTCATTGTGTAGGGATACATCCACTATCATGGTTTTCCTTATATTTTCAGTGCACTGAAATATCAGCATCCCAGCAGGAAACAGTTGATACTCTAGGTAGGATATTTGGGATATAATTTTCATAAAGGGCTTCATTCACTGTGGACAGAATGTGGGGAGACCACAGAAGGTAGCCAAGGGTTTCTTACCCTTCCTCAGACACTGCTATTCCCAGTTATGCGGCACTAAGATTCGGAGGCAGACTTAATTGGGACCACAGCTTTGTATTGCAGAACAAAATGACGGCACACACAATTTGAAGGAGAAAGTTTATTTTGGCTCTTGGTTTTAGAGGTTTGCCTCACAGCAGCTAGGAAATGGTAAAGGCAAGGAAGAGAAACATTCCAAAGGCATACCCAAGGGCCCTTCCCTCCACCTAGGGCCTGCCCTCTCTAGTCACCCATTCTGTGATGACCTCACTGGTGAATCGATCCATTGATGAGATCAGTGCCACATTATCTAATCACCTCCCAATGCCGCCCCCTCCCTGAACATATGAGCCATTTGAAGATCACATTTATCCAAACTGTAACATTCTTGTCCTGGCCCCCAAGGCCTCCTGTGCATTTTGTTATGGAAAATGAATTCAGTCTATGCCAAAGTGTTGCTAAAGTCTCAAAAATTTTCAACATTTCTCAGAAGCCCACGTCCAAAGTCTCCTCTGAGACTTAAAGCAACTCTTACCCGTGAACCCCTGTAAGATTCCAGATGTGTGATACATGCTTCCAATGTAAAACAGCCAGTAAAGGGGCTGGGGATTTAGCTCAGCGGCATAAGCGCCTGCCTTGTAAGCAGGCAGTCGTGAGTTCAATCCCAGGTACTGATTTAAAAAAAGAAAAAGACAAAAAAAAAATCCAAAATAGCCAGTAAACTTGATACCTAGTGTCAACACTCTCACTCCAAAAGGGTTGAATGTAGGGCAGAAAAGAATTGGATAGAAGTAGGACCAAAGTCTGATGAGGCAAACATTAAATCTGGTAGCTCCATGACCAGCATCTGTATACAAGGTGACAATATATAAACCCCAAAGGCCTTATGTGGTCCAGCCTCTGTGACCTTGCCAGTTGCAGCCCACACGGCCCCTTGAACTGTCTGTGTTCCTTACCTCCTGGCCCACATTCCACATTCCTAGCATCCTTAGCCACAGGGGTCTCCATCGCAGCTTTGGCCTCATTCACATGGCTTCACACATCAACCTCTCAGTTGCTCCTGCAGGGATTCTGTTACATATCACCCTCCTGTGCTGTAGAAGTCACTTTGCCATCACTGAGACAATACTGACATCCACAACTAAAAAGAGGGGGGTTTCTTTCATGTCATGTTTTCAGTCCATGATTGGCTGCCTCCAAAACAGAAATGGCCGGGGGAAAAAATAGTAGAGGAAAGGGTTCCCACAGTAGCCAGGAAGAAAAGAGACAAAGGAGAATCCAGGGCCAAGAATACACCTTTCCAAGTGACAGATCCAGTGACCCACTCCCAACCAGACCCCAGCCACTGACATCACACTCAGCCACTGAGCTTGTCAGCGGATCCCTACTGTGACACAGCCTGAGAGCTTCAGTCTCCTGCAAATTTTTCGTGCATGGACAAAATGTAGACAAATTCTTTTCCAGAATGTAACATGAATGGCCTCTTGTCTGACTTCTACTTGTATCCTTATCCACATGTGGAACCTCATGAACACAATCTGTTCTCATTCTACGGGCATTCTGCTCCTCTAAACTTACCCGCAAGATTATCCATTCACCTCCACTTGCCACATTCTAGAGCTTCTCTAGCATGCATCTCTAAACTTTTCCAAATTCCTCCCACAAACTGAAGGCTTCTGAATCACATCACTGGCCATCCCATCATCACAGCCAACAATCCCACTTCTCTGGGGTTGTATTAGTCAGCTTTGCACTTCTGGAACAAAATACCTGACTTCCATGGCTTAAAGGAGCAAAGACTGATTTGGGCTCTTGATTTCAGATGTCTTGGTTCATGGCTGCAGGCAACTTCAAGGTAGAATCATATGGTGGAAAAGCATGGCACAGGAAAGCAGGATACTTCATCTCAAAGAGAAGGCAATCAGAGAGCAAGAGCATGGGGGAAAGGCAAGATATGATTAAACATGTCTCCTCCCCTCCTTCCTCCATGACCTACTATCTCCAACTGGGTCCACCTCCTCATAGCCCATTCAGCTCTGAACTCAATAGATCAATCCATTGATGAGCTGAGATCCCTCAGGACTCACTGACCTTCCTAAACCCCACCTCTGAACTCCACTGCAATGCAAATCGAGCCCTCCATACATGAGTCTTAGGGGGACTCTTCATACTGAAACTGAAACACTAACCAAGAGATCCCTCTGTGACTAAGTATAAGAGATGATGGAAACCAAAAAACAGAAGACCCAACCCCCTACACACTCAAAAAGAAAGGAGCTTTTCAAACACCACATCATTTGCACCCTACTCAAATGTCCTGTGTCTTCACAAGACTATGTACGTGTAACTCCAACGATGAAGCCCCTAGAAAGGCAATGTCCAGAGCAGCAGTGGGCAAACCATAAAGCTTTCCAAGGAAAGTGACACTAGATCCCCAGAAAACTGGTCTTTCCACAGTCATAAAATAAGGATTGATAAAAGCATCAACAAACAGGCACTGAACCAGCTCAGCAGGGCTTTGACCAGCCTGCACCAACTTTCCAGTTTCCTGCCATGCTCAGCCAGTTCTGGGGAATTGGGCCTGCCTGCCTATGCCCTGAACTCTGGACTGGGCATCCTGAGATGAGTGTCCCCGTACCATCCTGAGCCCTTGGAAGGAAGTTTAAGATCATTGCTCACACCAACCAGGTAACTTTGTGGTTTCCTGCCACACTGGACTGGCACAGCAGGGTATGGCCCTGTCTGCCCCACCTCCAGTGACCCTCTCTTGATTCAGGGAACTGGGCAGCCAGAGTCCCAGAAGCTGAGAGCATAGAAGAGGATTTCCAACAGCCCCAGGAATGCCTTGGAATAACACTTGAAACAGAGATATACAGGAAAGTGACAAAATGGAAGACCAAAATACAATCTCAAACCTCCAGCCCATCCCAAGAAGCCTTAGGAGCTATATACATAGAAGAAAATATATACCATACACCTGAAATAATAGCAACTGAAATAAAAAAGCAA